AGACACAATGAGACAGAGACACAATGAGATGCACAAAGACACTGTGAAACATACAAAGACACAATGAGATGCACAGAGACACAATGAGACACAGAGACACAATGAGACACATAAGAGACACTGTGAGACATACAAAGACACAAAGAGATGCACAGAGACACTGTGAGACATATAAAGACACAATGAGACAGAAACACAATGAGATGCACAGAGACACAATGAGATGCACAGAGACACTGTGAGACATATAAAGACACAATGAGACAGAGACACAATGAGAGACATAAAGAGACACACAGGGACACTTAGAGAAAGAGAGAGATACAATGAGACAAAGAGAGACACATTAGGACACACTTTAGTGTGTAGTTGTGCGTACTGTTGGCGATGATGCGTTCAAGGATACATTTTAGCTCAGCCACGGTCCTGCTGACAGAGCTGAGCTCCGACAGCTGCTTCAGAGAATCCATCACTAAACACAGACAGTGAATACAACACAGAACATCTGGATGTCAACAGCTGCAGGTGTGATTCTCCATCAGCCAGAGAAACATCTTCAACTACAAAATAAAAGTCCAGGTTTTTCTGTATAGTAAAACATCCGGAACAAACAAACAACATTTAGAGGCTAACAACATGTGGAAATAACAAAAGGTTAACAGCTGGAACACAGAGGATAACAGCTGGAACAGACAGAGGCTAACAGATGGAATGTAACCCAGATGTTTGAGTATAGTTCAGTGGTATCAGACCTGAGGTCAGCTGATTCTTGTTGTGGTCCACAGCTGTCTTCACCTGTTGAAGTTCTCCAATGGAGTCTAAAACAGAAAAACCTCAGATATTCTAACAGTGGAACCAGAACCTGTTTGTAAACTGGATCCCAACATTGGATCTACTCCAGAACCTGGAGATTTAACTTGTTCATGCTTTACCCTGAGTCTGCTGCAGTGATGCATTCAGGGATTCCAGTTGGTCCTTCAGCTTGGAGATGCTGTCCTCTGCAGATGACAGGCGGTTTGATGTCTTCATGTCTGATCACACACACACACACAACCTGTAAACTCCAGGTCCAGTCCTCGGTTCTCTCTTTGAGGATCCAGACTTGTGGTCCAGACCAACGGTTCTCCAGACCTTCAGAAGGTCTCTGTCTTTGGAGCTTGGTCAGAACCAGAACATTTTTCAGACAGAGTGGAAACATCTCCACTCAGAGAGGAGCTGTGTGTCTGTGTGTGTGTGGGGGGGGGGGACTCACTGGTGGTTCCCAGCACGATGAAGATGATGATGAAGACGACTGCAGCCATCAGAGCAGGAACCATCCAGCATCTGAACCTGAACACACTTGAGACCAGGACAGGTGGGACCTCTGACACACGGACACACACAGATTATCACACACACACACACAAACAGTAGTGGTAAAAATAACCAGGTTCCATAAATGCCTCACACTGACCTTTGATCCAGAGGGCGCACTGGTCTGAGTCCATGTTCGGGTCCAGGTCTGGGTCCAGGTCTGGTTTATAAAGCGGGTTGGACATGGTGGGGGTGATGATTCTGATCAGAGCGAAGGTTTACAATTGAAACTGGACCAATGAGCTCACAGAACAGAGTTCATGACCAGAGGTGAGGGGAGGAACGTAGATGGACCAGTAAACAGAGAGCTTTGTCTTACAGCTCAGCTCCATCTTCACCACAATGAGAACAGAACCCGCAATACCATACCATACCATACCACTTTATTTATAAAGCACTTAAAACAGCGATAAGACCAACCAAAGTGCTGTACAGACAGAACAACAGGTAACACATGAAGCAAAATACAAAATGAGGTAAATCAGAATATAGACATAAAAATGATGCAGATAATGACGACAAACCAGTGTGGAGCGTACAGGATCAAAACACAGATCATCTGGTGTTGAAAGCTACTGAATAGTAGTGAGTTTTTAAACGGGACTTGAAAACCGAGAGGGAGGGGGCCTGTCTGACAAGCAGAGGTAACTCGTTCCAAAGTCTTGGTCCTGCTACAGAGAAGGTCCTGTCACCTCTGTGCTTAAGACGAGTTCCTGGAACTGTGAAGAGCAACTGGTCCGCTGACCTCAGGGAGCGTGGTGGGACATATGGTTGTAGCAGATCAGAGAGATGGGGGGGGGGGCGACACTGTTCAGTGATTTGTAGACATACAGGAGTATTTTGAACTGGATTCGAAAGTGAACTGGTAACCAGTGCAGGGAGGCCAAAACTGGTGTAATGTGCTCTCTTTTGCCTGTACTGGTTAAAAATCGGGCTGCTGCATTCTGGACCAGTTGTAGTCGTGCAATGGAGGTCTGACTGATACCAAACAGGAGCGAATTGCAGTAATCAAGCCTAGATGTAATGAATGCATGTATTACTGTCTCCAGGTTCTTTTTGGACAATATGGGCTTCAGTTTAGACAGCCGCCTCAGTTGGAAGAAACATGATTTAACAATCATGTTTACATGACTGTTAAGTTTCAGGGAAGGGTCCATTATCACGCCCAGATTAGTGACTCTTTGTTTTTCTGACAGGGTTAGAGCGGAGAGGTCGATGCAGTGGTTTGTGATCGTGCCATTGGGAGGGAACAACATGACTTCAGACTTATTTTCATTGAAACTTGAGAAATTTAAAGCCATCCAGTCCCTGATGTCAGCCAGGCAGTTGAGCAGCGGTTGAATAGAGCATGTACCATTGTGTCTTAGGGGGAAGTAAATTTGACAGTCATCGGCATAGGAGTGGAAGGGCATGTTGTGTTTCTGGAAAATAGCACCAAGCGGCAGCAGGTATAAAGCGAATAGGAGGGGACCCAGGATGGACCCCTGCGGAACCCCCCATTTAAGCTCTGTCGCTGCGGAACTAAAATCCTTGATGGAGACACAAAAGGATCTGTCAGCGAGGTAAGATATGAACCAATTGAGGGCTGATCCTGTGACGCCCACCCACTGCTCCAACCTAGCAATGAGGATCTCATGGTCGATGGTGTCAAAGGCGGCTGTGAGGTCCAACAGGACAAGCAGCACAGAATCACCAGTATCTGTGAATCTGAAGATGTCGTTAAAGACCAAGACCTTCAGCAGGGCAGTTTCAGTGCTGTGGAGAGGTTTAAAGCCAGATTGGAAAAGCTCTAAGATGGCGTGATCCTCCAGGAAGCACTTCAACTGGGGCTCGACTATTTTTACCAGTACTTTAGAAACAAATAGGAGTTTGGAGACAGGCCGGTAGTTTGACACGACTGAGGGGTCAAGGTTTGTTTTTTTCAGGAGAGGCTGGACGGCAGCATGTTTAAAGGATTTTGGCACCACGCCAGTGGATAAACTACTGTTTACTATATCAAGAATGGACGGACCTAGAGTTGGAAACACCTCCTTTAGTAGTCGAAGGGGGACCACATCAAAGGGGGAGCCAGAAGGTTTCAAGCTGCACATGACCTGCTCTAGAGAAGATAGAGTGATGGGTTCCAAATGGTCAAAAGGAGCTATAGATTGAGGTGGGATGGATGGGTCATGAGTTGGAGGGGAAATGAGAGCCCAAATATTGCAGACGCTGCACTAATTCGACTCGTGAACAAAACCCGAGATACTTGAACTCCTCCACTTGAGTCAGAACCTCACCCTCGACCTAAAAAGAGCAACCCACACTTTTTCTGGTTGAGGACCATGGCCTCAGATTGGAGGTGTTGATTCTCATCTCAGCTGCTTCACTCTCAGCTGTGAACCGCTCCACTGAGAGCTGAAGATCACGGCACGATGACGCCAACAAGACCACATCATCTGCAAAGAGCAGAGATGAATCCTGAGGCCACTAAACTGGAAACCCATCTGCCCCCTGGCTGCACCAAGAAATTCTGTCCATAAAAGTTATGAACAGAATCTGTGACAACGGGCAGCCCTGGAGGAGTCCAACTTACTACCGGCAATGAGAACCAAACTCTCGCACTGTTTGTATAGGGACTGAACAGCCCATAACAATGGGCCCCCAATCCCAGTCTCATGGAGCACCACCCACATTGTACCCCAAGGAACACTATCAAATGTCTTCTCCAAGTTCACAAAACACGTTTAGACTGGATGGGCAAACTTCCATGACCTCTCGAGGACTCTAGTGAGGGTAAAGAGCTGGTCCATTGTTCCATGGCCAGAACGGAACCCACATTGTTCCTCCTGGATCTGAGCTTCAACCAACGATCGGACTCACTTCTCCAGTACCCCTAAAAAGACCTTACAGGGAGGCTGAGGAAAGTGACGCCCCTGTAACTGGAACACACCCTCCGGTCCCACTTTTTGAAGAGGGGAACCACCACCCCAGTCTGCCAATCCAGTGGCACTGCTCCCGATGTCCATGCAACATTGCAAAGGCGTGTCAACCAAGACAGCCCCACAACATCCAGACCCTTAAGGAAATCAGGGTGAATCTCATCCACTCCAGGAGCCCTGCCACCACAGAGCTTTAAAACTACCTCAGAGACCTCAGCCACAGTTATGGACAAATCAATCCCAAAGTCCCCTGACTCAGCTTCCTTCATGGAATTGATGGGGATTGAGAAGGTCCAAGAAGTATTCCTTCCACCTCCCGATGACATCACTGATTGAAGTCAACAGCACCCCACCATCACTGAACACAGTGTTAGTAAAGAGCTGTTTTCCCCTCCTCAGCCGTTTGATGGTTTGACAGAATCTTCTCGGAGCCGACCGAGAGACTTTATCCAGGGTATCACCAAACTCCTCCCACATCTGAGGTTTTGCCTCAGCAACAACCAAGGCTGCGGACCACTTGGCCTTCCAGTACTCCTCAGCTGCCTCCAGAGTCCTACCAGCCAACAAGGACAGATAGGACTCCTTCTTCAGCTTGACAGCCTCCCTAACCCGGCGTGTCCACCACCGAGTTTGAGGATGACCACTACGAGAAGCACCAAAAACCTTTCAGCCACAGCTCAAGGCAGCCACTTCAACAATTGAGGTGCGGAACATGGCCCACTCAGACTCAATGTCCCCCACCTCAGCTGGGATTTGGTTAAAGCTTTCTCTGAGGTGTAAGTTGAAGATCTTTCTGATGACTTCTTCTGCCAGGCGTTCCCAACAAACCCTCACAACATGTGTGGGTCTACCGGGTCTGTCCAGCATCTTCCCCCGTCATCCGACCAAACTCACTACCAGGTGGTGATCAGTTGACAGCTCAGCTCCTCTCTTCACCCAAGTGTCCAAAACACGACTATGAAGTCAATCATCAATCTACGACCTAGGTTGTCCTGGTGCCAAGTGCTCCTATGGACACCCTTATGTTTGAACATGGTGTTTGTGATGGACATAGCACAAAAGTCCAACAACAGAACACCACTCGGGTTCAGATCAGAGGCCGTTCCTCCCATTCACACCCCTCCAGGTCACACTGTCATTACCCACGTGGGCATTGAAGTCCCCCAGCAGAATAAAGGAGTCCCAGCTGGAACATCTTCCAGCACCCCCACCAAGGACTCCAAGAAAGCCGGATACTCTGAACTGCCATTTGACACGTAGGCATAAGCAACAGTCAGAGCCTGTCCCCCCACCTGAAGGTGCAGGGAAGCCACTCTCTCATCCACCGGACAAAACTCCAACACACAGGCACCAAGTTGGGGGGCTAAGAGCAGACCCACACCAACTCGGTGCCTCTCACTATGGGCAACTCCAGACTGGAATAAGGTCCAGTCCCTCTCAAGGAGATCGGTTCCAGAGTCCATGCTGTGCGTTGAGGTGAGCCCAACTAGATCTAGTCGGTACCTCTCAACCTCACACACAAGCTCAGGCTCCTTCCCAAGATCCAGCTTTGGTAAATCAGGATCAGAGCACCAAGACCTCCACCTTCAGCCACTGTCCTGCAGGTGGTGGACCCACAGGAAAGCTTAATGTTGAACCTAAATGTTTTTGTTTTAAAAACATTTAAAGTTTAATAATCTTAATGTTGTTTAAAACTATTTAAAACATAAATGTTGCTGATAAACTGCAGCCGCTTCCTGTTTGGTGACAGAAACATTTTAAATCAGAATTAATTCAAATTAAATCAGTAAAGTTGTTAAATAAACCATTTGATCTTTTATATGAAAGTAAAATTAAAAACTCACATTTGTAGGGCGTTGTTTGTGTGGTTCTGACCCAATGTGTGGTTCTGACTCAACTTCTCCAGAACAGAAGTTCTCTTCCTCCTCCTCTTCCTCTCAGCTGCAGCGAAATGTCGACTCATCGTTTCAGGAGGAAATCTGAAGATCAGAGTTCTGCTGCCGGTGACTCATCACAACTTCCCCTTTCTCCAAACACAAGCAGCCTGGTCCAACAGAACCATCTGGACCCAAAGCCTGGTCCAACAAAACCATCTGCACCCAAAGCCTGGTCCAACAGAACCATCTGGACCAAAACTCTGGTCCAACAGAACTATCTGGACCAAAACTCTGGTCCAACAGAACCATCTGGACCAAAACTCTGGTCCAACAGAACTACCTGGACCCAAACTCTGCTTTAAGAACAAATGAAAGACATCCATCAAAGTTCTCCTGGAACTAGAGGGTTCCCTCAGGACCCAACAGAACCATTCAAACAGACCCAAAACTTTAAAAGAGGTTATCAGAACACGTTTATTAAAAGTTCTTCAGAAGGTTCTGGTTCTGATGGATGTATTTCCTCCACAGGAAGGATTTTACTCAAACGTATCATCACAACCCAGAACTGTTCAGGTTTTGGACCTCAGAACCTCTGGACTGACTGTGAGGGGTCCTGCAGGAGAACCAGAACCAGGTCATTGTCTCTGTGATGTAACAATGTCCAGATGTCCATCAGGTGACATCATCCCTCTGTGAGGTCATCGTTGAAATGGAGGAGGACAGCGGGGACAAAGGCGTCTCGGTCCAGTCTCAGCTGATCCAGTTCCAGGTCTTCATCAGGAAGTCCATTCTCACTCAGAGTCTTCTTCATGTCCAGGATGGCTCCATCAAACTTCCAGGTGTAGCTGCAGGCGTGGGCGTTGTAGCGCAAGTAACGCTGAAGGATCTCCTCCAGGGTTTCCTCTGAACACACCTGGAACCAGGAGAGGGAGGAGCATCTGAGACAGGAGGAGGAGCATCTGAGACAGGAGGAGGAGCATCTGAGACAGGAGGCGGAACATCTGAGACAGGAGGCGGAACATCTGAGACAGAAGGCGGAACATCTGAGACAGGAGGAGGGACATCTGAGACAGGAGGAGGGACATCTGAGACAGGAGGAGGGACAACTGAGACAGGAGGAGGGACATCTGAGACAGGAGGCAGAACATCTGAGACAGGAGGCAGAACATCTGAGACAGGAGGAGGAACATCTGAGAAAGGAGGAAGAGCATCTGAGACAGGGGGAGCAACATCTGAGGGACATCTGAGACAGGAGGAGGGACATCTGAGGGACATATGAGACAGGAGGAGGGACATCTGAGGGACATCTGAGACAGGGGGAGCAACATCTGAGGGACATCTGAGACAGG